GAACTTTGTACACACATGCAGTAGGAGCTGGCCTTACAGATATTTAGTAAATAAGTCTTGGTCTTCTTAACACTTGCTCTATGAAGCAATTAGTAGGCAGAAGCCAAGAGTTCTTGGCGTCAGGAACCCTGAGTGAGGAGGAATGGTGCTACAAAGGGTGGGTTCGGGGCTCCATTGGTAGCTAAAGGGCTTATTTTCACCAAATGCCAAGGGTTGTGTAAGTACCTTGCACATTTATAACTGACTTACAAGTGAATATTTGAAACATCGTGAAACAGTTAAACAAAAGATAGGCCTAATTTATACGGAGAGCTAATATACCTGAGGACATATTTAACTACTAATAAAGTAATAATTTACATAATTAGAAAATAGGTGTCATGCAGATGTTAACTCTTAAATGACACTGCCTAGTGCTGCAGTTACCGTAACATTGACATATTTCCACATTGCAGTGTATATTGGTACAACTCTCTGAAAGCGATTAGCCATAAATTTTTTTAATGCTTTTTGATTCAGTAATGCCTCTACTGAAATTTTATCCTTAGAAAAGCTAAGTGTGTAAAAGCATTTATCGAAGTGTCATTTATAATACTGAAAAATAGAAACAGGTCTAAGTGAATCATGGATAAATAAAATATGTTCTGTTATAAAACAGAATACAGAATTATATATATGTTATCACTGGCATCTAAAATATATACATGGATTTTTACAATGAAAATATTTAGGTTGCTGAGATTATGAGTGATTCATCATATCCTCTTAAAATGGACTTTAATGTTATAACTTTGTATCCTAAACATAAAGTGTAATTAAATGATTTGTTCACTGAATGGACATGGTTTGCTGCCAAGCCTGGCTTTTAACTGGTGATTGTTGTACTTATTTTTAGACATTTCTCTTGGGAAGTTGTGCTTCTGACAGGAATATAGTACTATATGATATGAGGCAAGCTACTCCTCTGAAGAAGGTAAGTTTCAGCTTGTCTTCAGTTTTACACGATTGTTAATGCGTTCCTTGGTAAATTGAGCTACAAAATAAGGAGTAAATCTATCTTCGGTGTTTTAAAAAATTCTTTTTCATTCAGATGTTATTAGAACCCAAAGTGGCATTCTCTCAGCTCCCTATACTTTTTAGAGACCCTTATTTCCACTAGGGACTGTAACCTACTTGTCTTTGTGTCTCCCATAATACCAATACATTTTAGGCATCTACTTAATACTTATTAAGTTGAAAGTTCTTTAATTGAAAGTATTGCATCTCTTTATTTCAGGCCCCATGATTACCATATGACACTCACAGTATTTTATTCCAGAAAGTTTTATAACTAATTTACATAACCAGCTTTATTTGTTTAGTTACAGGCTGACAGGTACTAGTTTGGCATTTTATTTAGACAAACATTATCCTGTTCAAGGTGACAGATTTCCCAATGGTGCAAAGTAGTCATTCCAGGAGTTAGATACCGAAGCTAATAGAACCTCAGGCTAACTCTAACGGGAGAGAAATATTGTCAGTAAAGAGAAGAGTGCCAGTATAAGAATTGTGAGCATACAGGAAGGGATAGACATCATTGATGTACCATGAGTTCATCGTCATAGTCCACATGTAGAGAAATGCTTTTAATATTTTTGTTGTTCCTTAGTCATTTTTATAACATGTAGTGAATGTAGAAATATAAGAAGTAGAGTATATTCATTGACGTTTGAACTTGATAAGTGTGGTAACCTTTCCAAAGTACCACTTTGATCATTTTTCTCATTCATGTATTGTAGTGGGAAGATCCTACATGAACTTGTGTTTTAGACTTTAAACAGTAACTTAATCTGTGTTTCTTCTGTAATATGGTGATATTAGTAACAACACAGCACATTGGTGAGAATAAAACATGATACTTTAAGCCGTTAGCAGAGGCTAACTTGAAGTACTAGTTAAATAAGTAGTAGTTTCTGCCCCCTCTGCCCTTGTATTCTCAATGTTTGGATGGTGTTCCGTTACTTTTAGGTTTAAGACAAGAGCTGTTGCCTGGCTTTCAAAACTGTCCAAAATCTGGTCTCAGTATATATTCCATTTATGTATTTGTTTCAGTTAGTAAGGACATATAAATAGGATTTGTCACATGCAGGTCACCTTGATGGATGCAGAGATGCTATTTTTTATTGTTTCCTTGTTCTATCTACTAGACTCCCAGTATTTCTCTCATCTTTTCTCTCCTAAGTGTATAGTTCTCAATCAGATGGTACTTCCCCACCAGGTATATTTTTTAAAATGTGGGAGGGGCATTTTAGAGACTGGTAGTGGCATTTAGTGGGCAGGTACCTGAGAGGCTAAACATCCTACAGTGGGCAGTCACACACAGCAAAAGATTTTCCTACCCAAAATGTTCCTGTGGACAAGCTCTATAATATACGGTTCTTCATAGGTTAGCTCCAATCATGTCTCATTTTCCTGATTAAAATATAAGTTATTTGAGGTCAAGAGACTATTTATTAAACATTTGTATATTTTTCAATATTTACATCTCTGCCTGTGTGTTCAGGAAGCAATTATTGGTTGATTTCTTTTCCTATTGCACCAACTTGAGTACCTACATAATAGGTATTTACTAATTAATGTAAATATTTGCTTAAATTAATGAAAAAAGGGAAGGAGATGAAATTGGGACATGTATTCATTTTGGAGGGAATTGATTTCATAGTAATAGGTTAGGGTATGCTTCCTTTCTCAGGTCATCTTAGATATGAGAACAAATACAATTTGTTGGAACCCTATGGAAGCCTTCATTTTTACTGCAGCAAATGAAGATTACAAGTAAGTTTTCCTTTTTAAAAAACTTACTTATTTCTATCAGAAACGGCTCATTTGTATGTCTTACTAATAAAATATGTTTCCTACTTAGTATTCCTGTCTCTGTCTCTTTCTCTCTCTCTCTCAATATATATATTAACCAAATTGGAGAAGAGCTTCGTAGAAAGTAATCGCAGTTTTCAAAATGATGCAGAAAAGGATAATAAACTAAGACCTGTGGACCAAATTTTATCTGCTGCCTATTTTATAAAGTTTTGTAGGAATACTAGAGACCCGGTGCACAAATTTGTGCATGGGTGGGGTCCCTCAGCCTGGCCAGTGATCGGGGCCAATGGGGCTGATCAGGGCCAGGTGGCTTGGGGAGGGGGGGCGGGAGGGGGGAAGAGACTGCAGGAGGTTAGCCAGCAATCTGGGCGGGGCCAGCTGGGGGCAGGGACCATGGGAGGTTGGCCAGTCACGGGGTGGCGGGGGGGGAGGGGTGGCTGTGGGAGCACACTGACCACCAGAGGGAAGCTCCTGCGTTGAGTGTCTGCCCCCTGGTGGTCAGTGCATCATCACAGCGACCAGTCGTCCAGTTGTCATGGTCGCTTAGGCTTTTATATATATAGATAGCCACATCCTTTATGTACTGAATATGGCTGCTTTTGTGCTATCATGCCTAAGTCAAGTAGTTGCAACAGAGACTGTGTAGCCCACAAAACCGAAAATGTCTATCAGTCCCTTTACAGAAAAAGTTGGCTGATCTCTGAGTGACTGAACCATACATGTTTTAATAGAAACTAAAATTATCTGCCTACAAAATTTGTAGCTCTTCAGATAGCTGGTACTCATATAGTCATGTTATCAGCTGTTACTGTTACTTCAGTAAGACAAAAGGAAAAATACAATTTTAGTCTTTACCTTAGTATTTGCAGATATGTTATTCTGTGACTCCATGTAAAGGTTCATCTAGGTGGAATTTTATAATTCCTTGTATATTGCTTTAAAACTTGAAGCATTTCACATTGGCTCTTTTATTGTATCTTTGTAGTATCTCTGTAGAGTGGGTAGGACATGTATGTAGTGCAATGCATATGGTAGATTCTTCGTGCGTGCGTGCGTGTGTGTGTGTGTGTGTGTGTGTGTGTGTGAACGTGGAAGCTCGTCATTGGGCTGAACTTTAGATCTTCTGCATTTAAATTCTTTGTTTTTTCTACTATTTGTGAAAGCTCAGAAGTAGGAATTATTACATGTTTCACTGGTACCAACTAAAAACATGTATTTTGACTTTCTGTACTAAAAAGAAGCTCACTTGGACTCTCATTAACTAGCAATACCAAAGCAAATTATATGAAGCCCTTTTGGCCTTTATTGACATTTTGAAATTAAATGGCTTGGTTTTAGTTAAAGGCGATGAAAGCATGTCTTGTGTACCCAACTTTATTAAGGTTTCTAAAGTGTGTTCTAATTGGCTATTTTGTCAGGATGAGTACAGAATACAAAACTGTGGTATTCTTGGGGAATTGAATCAGTGTTATATGTCGTCAATATGTCTTAGTATTGGTGATGTTTATGTTGATCACTTAAAGTGGTATCTGCCAGATTTCTCCATTATAAAGTTACTCTTTTTTCATTTTGTAATTAATACATATCTTTGGGGAGATAACTTTGGGGACGTAATTATGTAGATATCCTATTTCTCCTCAAACTTTTGCTCACTAATCTTAGCATCTTAGGAACTTGGTCACAGTGATACTGTGTGACTATTGTCCATTGTACATATTGGCTTATTTGAAGTACTCATTATTCTTTTAGCTAGTCATTAAGAATTTTTAAACTTTGACAATCATGGAGTTATTATTTTTACCAGTTTTGCACAAAGTATAGTTTTCTAATTTTAGTATACTCCTTAAAAAGCTGTGCTCACTCATATATATCACTGATTGGAGAATAAATTGGTGTAACTTTGTTAGAAATGATATGTCATCTCAAAAGCCTTAAAAATGCTCATGCCTTTGGGCTTAATAATCCTACTTGCAGGAATCAGTCCAGATTTAATTGAAATAATCTCATTCAATCAAAGATTAAGTCTCAAAATTCAAATATTAGAATTTCATTTAAGAATTATTAATAAATGAATTTAAACAAATTGTAAATTAATTTATTTAGATAGGCAACCATTAAAATATTTTCAAAGATTGCTTAACGGATAAATGCTCATAATATGCTACTTGAAATATCAGAATACAGAGCTTTATTATTATTACCTCAATTGTATTAAAAGTATACATTTAATTTGCATAGTGAAAAGATTAGAAACATACTGTGCTGACTTTCTCATGGTGGTAGAATTAAAGGTGAGTTTGGTACTCTGTACTTCTTTGAAATTCCTACATTTTCTACAAGATTTATGTTTATAAGGATAAAAGTATGTAAGTGTAATCTTAAGGAATAATAAAAACTACTGGTATTTTTTCCTATCCCTTACCTGCTGTGTGAAGAATTGAGCTGTTTATTTAGGTGTGATTTAGCTAGAAGTCTTACTTTCACTAGTGTCTCTTAGTACTGCATATGCTGCTTTGTAGAAGTTTGTATCAAATAATTGAAATCCTTTTACAGCTTATATACTTTCGATATGCGCGCACTGGACACTCCTGTGATGGTGCACATGGATCACGTGTCTGCGGTGCTGGACGTGGATTATTCTCCCACCGGGAAAGAGTTTGTGTCCGCTAGTTTTGATAAATCTATTCGAATCTTTCCTGTGGACAAAAGCAGAAGCAGGTATGTTGCCACCAATAAGCCACCTATTTTTATTTATTTTTTCTTGTCTTGGTCATTGTTTATCTTTGTTGAAAGGTTGGTTGTGTTATATGATGGGGCTCACACCCTGGTGTTGTGCTTTGGAGCAACAACTTTCACCGCATCATCTATGGGCGAAACATCAGCCTGCTGGCAGTTTCTTTCATTAAACAGGATATTTATGTACATAATTTGATATAAAATTTTAGAATTATTTTTAAATGTTTTATAGTAAACTTTTACAAATAAAAACTATTTTTTAGAGCAGTTTTAGGTTTATAACAAAATTGAGAGGGTGGTACAGAGAATTTCCACATACCCCTTACCTCATATATGCACGGCCTCCCCCATTATCAACATGAGTCACCAGAATGGTACATTTATTACCAAGGTGAGCCTACCTTGACACATTAGTCACCTCAATCTATAGTTTACCTTCGGGTTTACTGTTGGTGTTGTACATTGTATGGGTTTGAACAGATGTGTAAAATGATATGTCTCCATCATTATACCAAAATATTAAACTTTAAAAGTTTTTGATTTGATAGTAAAGAACTTAGATAAGGTTTAGATAAGAACTTAGATATTTGATAGATAAGAACTTAGATGCCATTTTAAGGTTTTTGTGGATGTTTTAAATATGTTTTTATTGAATTCAAAGAGAGGGAGAGACAGAAACATCAATGATGAGAGAGAATCATTGATCAGCTGCCTCCTGCATGCCCCACACTGGGGATCGAGCCTGCCATTTCGGCATGTGCCCTGACTGGGAATTGAACCATGGCCTCCTGGTTGGTTCATAGGTCGATGATCAACCACTGAGCTATGCTGGTTGGGTGAACAGGTTGGTTTTAATGTTTACCGAAGTGTGATTGAATTTCCTAATATTTACATTCATTATGTGGCTGTGGGGGGAGGGGGAACAGCCTGTTAAATATGTAGAGATTATCCCTGGCCGATGTGGCTCAGTTGGTTGAGCGTTGACCTATGCACCCAAAGGTTGCTGGTTTGATTCAAGTCAGGGCACATTCCTATGTTGAGGGCTCGATCTCCAGTAAGGTGTGTGCAGTAGGCAGCCGATCGATGTTTCTCTCTCTCAACCCCCCCCCTTCCTTCCTCTCTCTAAAATCAATAAAAACTTTAAAAAAAAAATATAGAGGCTATAAGAATTGAGTCTTGTAAA